CGGCTCCCTAATAAATGGAAGTCTATTCTCAATACAGCCAGCTCAATGCCCTAGAAGGACGCTGCACTCACCTCTTGGCAATCACACACAGAGGCAGGCATGAAACAGAATGCCTGACTCCTACCTCTGCCGGGAAGGCTAGGGCAAAGCAGCCACAGACTTCCTGTGGGATGGCTCCCAGAGACTTATCTACAGCCCGGTTTCCCTCAGCACTGAAGTTCCTCGTGTAAAAACACTATCTTGTGTTTCCCGAATATGTATCAGGGAAAATGTTTCAACTTGTACTTAAAATAATGGAGCTTTGAGTAATATTGAACTCACGCTAGACGAGGCCCCAAACAGCCCAGCAAATGCAGAGCAGCACCAAGAAAACAGAAAACTAACCAGATTGGCTGTGTACACTGTGTGGCCTGTCGGCTCATAAGGGAGAAGGGCAGAAGGAGATGCGTGCAGGTAAAGAGGCCCAAGACAGAGTAAACTAAACGATGGAAGAACTGTCTGGGGGAGAGGCACCTGACCAAATGTGTCTGGACCCAAAAGGTAGAGAAACACAGTGACACCCAACAAACAAATGGATATGATGTGGCTCAAAGAGCCTTAGATTTGAAACAGTTTTTGACAAGAGGGGCTGGAGCTGGGCAGTAGTGGTGGGCGCCTTTAATCCCAGCACTCGGGAGAGAGAGGCAGGTGGATCTCTGTGAGTTCGAGGTCAGCCTGGTCTACAGAGTGAGTTCCAGGATGGCCATGGCTATACAGAAAAACCCTGTCTCTGAGTCGGGTAGGGGAGGAAAGAAGGAAGGAAAAGAGCGGCTGGAGAGACACCTCAGCTGGGTAAGAGCACTGGTTGCTCTTTCAAAAGACCTAGTTTCAGTCTCCAGCACCCACATGACAGCTAACCACCATCAGTAACTTCAGCTCCATGGCATCCAACATCTTTTGGCTTCTGCATGCAGATGATGCACAGAATACCAATACACATAAAATAAGAAGGAAATAAAAAAAACAGTAAGAAGAACTTCTATGTGGCATAATTCAGTCAAAGGTAAATTCTGCTCCAGGATGTAACTTGGGTGAGAAAGTGAATGGCAAGATTGTATATCAGTATGTCCAATGAAACTACAAAGCGATAAGTGATGGCCTGTGAGGCTCAGAATGCAGCACCTAGGCACCAGGGGCCTCAAGGAAAAGCATTTATGCAATTGGCCGCTGTACTAGGAACTCAACTGACCACATTTTCCACACCATTTTCACTTCAGAAAACAGCTGACACACTGTGGTTAGATCTGTGTATCTGACCTGCATTTTCTCAGACATGAAGAAAGTGACCTCACACACATACATGAGAGGGGAGAGAGAGGGAGAGAGAGAGGGAGAGAGAGAGAG